GATTCCGGTCTGTGTTGAGTGTTTTGAATATCACACGCTTCACTCCTCTTGGTATATTCAAAGATTTCATAACCTCGGCTGCATATCATCATATACATTAACTAAACTCTTCACCATTGTCCATTAATGACGTCATTACTAATAATCAAATATTGGGATGTTTTTACTTCGATTAAAATTTGCTGGTCTTGTCTGGCCGACCTGTTGAAGTATTGTATGGACTGTTTAGTTTTGGTCTAGTCTGATATGAGACTGAAAACAATCCAAGTAAAAACATCATTATACTTCGTACTGTACTTAGGATGTTTTCTTTTGGACTGAAATTTGCTGGTTTGGTCTAATCTGGTCCGGCCTGATAAATGTCTGATTTCTGTGTATTTTATATTTATGGAAGTCTGGTCTAGTCTGATCTGGTCTGGGACTAAAAACAGTCCAAAATAAAAACATGAAAAATGAAAAAACATTGACCAAAATATTAGATCTAACGTAGATCTTCTCATGGATATTATTATTATTAATCTACTTCTCATAACACAATGTCAAAAAAATTAATTAAACATCATGTACATGTACCAGTGATATTTTTGTCCCGGGGAGTGTCAACCACCAAAACTGGGCCTGCACATTGCCAACCATTAGCCTGTCTTGATAAGCACTAGACAATACAACTCTCTCATATGGTCAACCATAAGGTTTGACTTAATTTTCCCAGAAAATGAGACATTTTCGTGTTAAGCCAACAAAAGGCTCTAATCACTGTTGTCTATCATCATCATTTTCATGGACCCCAATGACGCAAAAGGCTTCCACCTACGGTGGGGTAAGGAGGGGTCGGATGGGTGTACGCAATCTTACCCTTGTATTAAAGCACAAAGAGATTGTTTCCGGATGAGCCATAGTGAAAATCATGTTCAAAATTGCATGGACTGACTGCTGCTTCATAACAAAGAAGCGTAGACAGTTTAGTAAGCTATTTTGCTTTATTCCATCATATTCTCAAGCCAAAGAATAATGAATCTTTAGCTCCATTGCAAATGATGGAAAGTCTTATCATATTGCATAAATGAAAGAAAACAATCTACATAATTTATGCGTCTCATCACATCCTATAAACATGGAACACCAAGAGTTATATACTTATACTACGTATTAATTATATAGTACAAATACAAGAGTTATACGTAGTATTAAACTGAACTTGAGGAATATTTAGAGTTTTTATAGAGAATAGGAAAATGTGGAGTTGGAGTACATTTTAAAAAAGAAATTACATTACAAGGGGTCTTGCATTGATTAATAATCTAATAAATAGTTTGTCTTGGTTAACGCAAAAAAAAACCCTTGTGATTTTTAAAAATGCATCAAACCCCGTAGTCATGTACAAAACACTTAGGAATAACAAACATAGTGAACGTGAAAGTACATATTTTGAAATTATGATTAAATATTGAACATAAATATTCAGGATATAAATTATACGGAATATAAAAATATTAAACTCTTTGTTTAATGTGACAATCTAAATTTGTTGGATGTGACGAGAGGCGTAGGTATAGATGTAAGGAGTTTACCATTTTCGCTCCACCTCAAATTTGGAAAAAAAATCGGGGGTGTTTGGCAATTGGCTGTTGGCTGATTCTGTTGACTGATTGATAACAGCAGATTCTGTTGGCTGTTTTGATTAGCTGATAATATTAGCTAGTATTATCTCGTTTTTTGAAAAGGCTTTTTGGCCTTTTTTAATTGGCCTTTTTAATAACAGCAGATTCTATTGAGCCCACATTATCTGTTTGGAATATTAAGTTAAATTCGTTGAAAAGGCCAGTTAAACTCCCGATTAACCAAACACCCCTAAAAAGTGATCAAATCAGCCAAAAAAATAGTTGATAGCCTCCTAACCAACACCCCCTTTGTATTGATGAAAAAATTGTCATAGCATATTTGGTTACCATTTAAAGTGCGTAGATCAAGAGAATCGACATCATATCCTTCATCCATTAGCGTCTGGTTAAAGTGGCCGGGAGCGTCGCAATGGGTGCCGGAGTGGGTGGAAAGGGTGAAGGTTGCGGAGTTTGAAAAAGCTTTTTCATCAGTTTTCATGTTGGACACAGATTTGAAGAACGGCTGAAGCCCATGAGGGCCGCCATAGAAGTACGGCATTCCGACGACATACTTGTGACTGATGTCAATTATTTTCTTATTCGAGAACACGTTCTCCTCCGATTGAAGGTAGGCTAGCTGGTCGGCGGTGATCGCATCTGCCCACGCGCCGCTGCACGCCCATGCCAGCGCCACCAGCACCAAACAGGGCACAACCTTTTGGTTCTTCATCGTTGTGGCCGGCCCGGGATCGAACTAGTATTATTTATTTTCCCACCACAAACTCCCAGATTATTTTTCTTATTAATGTATCTAGGAGCTTGTTTTTGAATTGGACTTAAGGGGCTTGTTTATAATGCTTATTGGTGGTGGATTCAAACGGACGGCCGTCAATTGAGGAGGTTGGTGGTCAAACAATGGCCTGTGTCCACTCCTCTGTTTACGTATCTTGTGAGGAGGAGAAGGATTCAGTTTCCGTCACACTCGAAACCAAATCAGGACCAGTTATATTTTGAGATGTTAACTTTTGGTTTTATTATTTTAGGATATAGCATCCGTTAAAACTTAAATGTATATTATGTTGATTTTAAATGTAAATTAACAAACTTTGTTCCTATAATACGAAGTACGGAGTATTAAACTATTAATGCATGGATAGTGCTTATAGCATGTAAATTGAGCTGAGAGTCCTGAGACAATAGGGGTGGGGTACATTTCACAATTAAGAGATGATATGATATTGTGACTCGTTTCTAGCGGAATATACAAAATTTGCTAAATTTAATACTAAAAGCATAGGTAAGATTTCAGTGTGGATAACAAATGAGTGACTACAAGGACAGTCTTTTTAATTGTGAGGGGTTGATCTGATTTGTTGAGATTAGTTAATATTATTATGTGAGGTTGATCTAGTTTGTTGAGATTAGTTAATGTATTTGAGTTTAATCTAATCTAATTTCGTTTGAAATCAAAATAATTTTAGAGGTCGTTTGGAACCACTGATTTTCGGCTTATCGGGCTTATCAACCAACTTTTTTACCAAACACGTAACTTTTGCTTTCGCGCGCTGGATTGTGTAATAAGCAGAAAAAGTAAGGTTGGAGTTACTTTTCTGGTTGTATTGGCTGAAGTTACTGTAGACGATCATTTTAGCTATTTTTACATATAATTTTTTCTTTACTTTATTAATAAAATAGATTTTAAAAATAATTTTTTCTTAAATCAGCAACATCAGCCAATGCAGCCACTTCAGCCAGAACTTCATAAATTTCAGCAGAAACAGCCAAATCAGCCGATTTTGGTGCTTCCAAAAGGACTCTTAATATGTCTTCCTTTTAAAGTTATAATAATCCTGATCTAAAGTCTAAACTAGTTAAAATCCTGATCTAAAGTGTTCAAAATCAGTTTTGTCAGATTTGACCTTGCTTAATCTATTTTAAACTGTTTTATTTCGCATTTATGGGTTAAAACCCCTTACACTGATTTCCCACTTATTTATAAGTGTTGTATATGATAAAGTCAAGCTACTAGTTAGGTGACACTAGGGATGGACTCGAAGCCCGGCCTGATTCGCCTGATGGCTATAAGGGCAGGCTTCGGGCTCATTTTTTAGGACCCACCCGGCCGGTCCCGGGTCCGATTGCACTATTTTTTTAATTTATTGCTCAAACCCGGCTCAGTCCCGACCCGAAACTATTTAGGCCATGCCCGATCTCGGTACAAACACGGGCCGGTACCGGGCCTGAAATTTTTAGCCCCGGTCCTGCCCAGTCCCGGCCCGGCCCAATCTCAGTCCATCCCTACATGACATGACAATGAGATTTGGGGCTCAAGTCAAGTGTCTCTACTCAAATATCTAGTGACGCTTGTCCTGTTGTCCACTTCCTTGGCAAAAGGTCCTATAAAGCTTCTGCAATGGTGTGATGCGATATTCATATTGGACTACCCTTTCTTCAAAGCCAAACGGCAGGTAGGTTTCGGACCGATGAAGCCGAGGGTCAGTTTTGAAGGCCGGCACAGGGCTGATGCATATTGACCGCTATCAGAACCCAATAGTTTTCACATTTTGGGACAGAAGAAGCTTCGAAATACTCCGTAATATAAGCCATGTTGCAATTATATACTCGTATGTTCACAAGGATATAGTATCAGGGATGGATTTAAGGGGGCCGCGGGGGGCGACCGCCCCCTTGGACGATCAAAATTTTCTACTATATATGTAATATTTTCAGACTTTAGTTAGATATATATATTTTCGCCCCCATAATGTAATATATAAGCTCACATAATGTAATTCTTAATTGAAGATTTAAAAGAAGTAAAATCTAAAATAATTTACATAATTAAACAAATAAACAACATAACAACTTTGCTTAAGACTTGAGATACCTATTATACCAAAATTCTTAGTTTTGTAATGTTTAATTATCTTTATTAGATAATTAGTACTCGATTTGTAAAATATCAATGATATTAAATATCAGACACAATAGTTAAACAATTTTTAGATGATGTAAACTTGATTCAAAATATAAATGTTTGTTGACACTAAATTACACAATCAATTTACTTCTTACTTTGTAAAAACAATTTGTTGCATAGATAATAAACCCTAACTTATTGTATCATTAATACCGATATAATATGCACCATGTATATATGAATCAACAATACTACATATCATATTATTCTAAAACTAATAATCTCATACATACTATTGTAATATTAAGAAAAGTCCTTGTGATCCATGAATGTCATCCTTCGTAGATAAAATTGCAATTCAAAAATCAATTCTTTATTCTGATAAGATTCATGTGGTTAAACAAAACAGAAATTATTTAAAAAACATCGGTCCTTGACTCCTTGTGTACCTTTTAAACTCTTTACCTTCAAATAATTTGATAAAATGTTACATCTTTTCTTATTTTCAAATAATTTTCTAGAGCACTAACAAATATTAAATCAAAGTTATTTTTTCACTGTCTAAAATTAGAATGTAATATAATAGATTTAAATGTCATCGTGTATTTAATCATGGAATTTTTTGAACAAAAATTAGCCGCAAATTCCTACACCAGCGAAAAAATTTCGCCCCACTACAGTAGCGAATATTTTTTCGCCCTATTACACTAGAGGAAAATTTTTCACCCTCTACATTAATGAAAAAAATTTCGCCCCCTTAACTCGAAATCCTGGATCCGTCCCTGTATAGTATGACATTTATTCGGGTACACGAATCCATATCAGGAAAAATGGTTAGAGAAGCATTACTTAACAACAAGTTTCATCATATTTCAAACACTTCCTTTTATTAGGGCCGACCCGAGAAGTAGAGGCTGCTGCCATTGAATGAGTGGCGTCGCTCAAGTATAAGGACATGGCCCCATTCGCCCGTAACTACTATAGTAAGACTTCCGTACAAATCCTCTAACCAGAAACACATTGTGATTTGCTATGTAGTAGTATATAGAGTTAAAGACATGTATAAGGCCAATGAACCATATATATTTAGTTGATGAGGATGCATCTGATGGGAGATCCTTCAGCACCTACCAACCTCAAGGGTAAGCAATGAACCGTATATATCCCAACCTTAACTCCTTCCAAATTCAGACCTTCCACTAGTACAATTTCCTACACCATTTGAAATTAACAATGTTATTTACTCCGTATTCAATTACTGTGAATAAAAATTTGGAAATTATCAATATTATAAATATCAATATTATCAATATTATAATACAATCAAAAGTCAAAACCTGTGAATGAAAATTTGAAAATAAAAATTTCCCAATATTTTTTTGCTTGTGATTATGCTTTTTGTAGTCCTTCACGTCCTACTACTCTTGTGCATCTCATTGTTTACCAATACTGACTTGGCCATATATGCTCTGATTTTTTTAATATTGAAAAAGAACGGGATGGCGTACATTTTAGCAAAAGTTGCTGAAGAGCATTGGTTTAAAATTTTTATACATCTTTTTTCATTGATAAAATATAATCTGAACATCTTTTATCAAATTTCAATCATTTCTGCAAAACTTGGGAAATTTCAACATATCCAACCGCTACAGTCATGTTTAGCTCTACCAAATAGACTCTACACCGCTAACTACCAGGGAGATTCATTGGAATAAAGAAACTCTCAAGGAACTAAGTGTTTGTCCAAACGTTACAGCGTCCAACAAACTTACCCTGCTCTTAAGAAATACTAGATGCGCAGTGATGATTTCATCGAATGCAGCAACAGATAAGTAATCTATTCCTGCAATTCAATAAAAAAGACATGTATAACTTTTATGTATAACAAAAGTAATGATGATGACAATATAATACGTAGTAGTAATAAAATAATAGTAATAATAATAAAAACAGTAAAACATATAATTACATGTGTGAAGGCCCAATGGCCCATGATAGTACCATAAATTTAGTGTGGTTTAGTGACTCATTTACTGGCTAATCAGACTTATCATCCAGATTTTTCCAAATACGAAGTATTTTGTTTTATGCGCTGAATAGTGTAAATGTGTAATAATCAAATTAAATAAAGTTGAAGGTATTTTTCTCTTTCACTTTGATGATAACAAATTAAGGACAAGTAAGCTTTTCTTTTAGTGTAAAATTCGTTCTCCTTTATTAACAAAATATATGTTTTGAACATACGTATTTCACAATTCAGTCAATTCTATCACAACCACAACTTAAAAAATTCAGGCTTTCAATTTTAGTCTTACAAAGAGGCTCTTAGTTTACTCACCAACAAGTTTAATATCAGTGTTGTCCACAAGCCACTGAGCACCATCCTTCATAAATCCCACATAGCTGGTGTCAAACCCCTTCTTGAACATCAGATGCCTGAAATTATATCCAACTTTGTGTCACTCTCTTTCATAGTTGAATCTTTGTAAAATTATGGAATGCATGTATATCACTCTCAAATATCTACCTGTCTGTGTTCAGTGTTCTAAATAGCACTCTCTTCACCCCCTTGGGTATATTTAGCCCCCTCATCACTTCAGCTAATTGAAACAAATGGATTTCATAAAGATCTCAGCTTTAAAGGTTGGCAACTATACTTCTTTGGTTTCATACATAACCCAATTCCCTAACTCAACCACGCCAACATTTATACCAATATATGGAGGGATCAATTTAGGATTCTTCAACCCTTTTAATTCAACCACAATACTAAAAAAAACTCCCATACATGGCAGGCACATATTTCTAGGAATTAAAGCATACCAGTTATGTTCTTGTCCCTGGGAACATCCACCACCAATGCAGGGCCTGCCAAAACACAAAAAAGAAGAAGCAAATATAGAGATGCTAATATACTACTCTGCTCCACTAAATTTTGACAACTTCCATTTTTAAGCCATCCCAAAATACTTTTTCTTTTTCTAAGGAACAAGTTTGTGGTTGACGTTATTTTATTCTCCTCTCATAAACCTTCACCACACAATTTTTACTTTCTACAACGTACTAGTCAACTTTGGCAGTTTGGCCATGTTTTATAGGACATAGGGAGTATTAAATACTCTCACCGCCTCCATCCTTCAAAGAAGTGTTTAGTTTGATCTTCACCGTCAAGAAAAAACTTTACAAAAATTAAGAAAAAACTTTATTAAAGAACATCCCAAAAAGTATATTGGGATAGAGAAAGGAGCATCGAGTATTAGCATATTGGTTCTAACTCATGTTAAGAGAATCATCAAAAGATAAGGTTTCATGGACAAGTTATTCCACGACCTAAAATTATAAAGTTACCTAGGCAGACCTGCATCACTCGTGTGAGAAAAGAACTAATAATCAATAATTACCAAAACACAAAAAAGAAGCCTAAAATGATTCTCAAAAGGTGAGATTAATCCATTCTTTACACTCCAATAACAAGCTACACTAAAGCTCAAAACTAAATAAAGAAGAGAAGAATACACTGAACAGAGGATTATAAAAAAATTCTCCAGAATTTAGTACCATTGAGGACTCTAAGGTCAAGAGTGTCAACATCGAACCCTTGATCGAAGTAATTATCATACATATGCCCAGGAGCATCGACATGAGTACCGGCATGAACACACAACCTCACCTCCGACAAGTTGTAATCAGAACCATTCTTCATGCTCATCAGTAAGCTGAGATACTGTCCGATGCCGTCATCGGAGTTCCCGGAGGGCGTGTTTGGAGTGAAGCGATGAGTGATATCGATTATCTCTCCACCTTCAGACACTTCCTTCCTCAGTGGATTGCTGGATCCGAGACAAAGACCCGGCGATTCATCACCATATCCGAGTGGATATGCAGCATCATCGGTAGATGCCGTAGCAACATATAGCAGGCTGAGTAGCAGTAGCTTCGCTGAAGTCTTCATACTTCTTACCAGAAGCTAATGGCCGTCAAAGCTTTCCAGCTAAAACTCTTTTGGTGAGCTGTACGTTATCTCGTTGGGATAAATAATAATCTCGAGCTCTTTGGCCAATACCACTAATTTTGTTGGGAAATGAAGTTTATATCCACTTTTGTATCCATGCATGTTTGTAAAATTATTATTTTTGTCTATGAATTCTTTCACACACAAAATATGTCTGTGAAGGAATTCAAAGACATATTTTTTCTGTGAACCCGTTTCACAGACAAAAAATAGCCTTCACAAAGGTGGGTATAAAGTGGATACAAAGTGATGAATACAACAAGCATGGTTGTTTTGTCATTTGTTCCTTTAAGTAAAGAATTGGTGATTCATTAATTCTTTTTTCACTACACACTTTTTACACTTTATTAATTTGCGTTGGTGATATCAGTCAAACTTCACAAAGTTTCATGCCCTGTAGCTAAAAGAGAGAAAAATTACTGTAGTCTAAGGGGCAGTAGAAAAATACAAAGTACTAATCCATGCTCATAGCTATCGCTCATATATGTATTTGAGTATTTCAACTTAAATATGAAAAATTGTCGTAAATAGTAGTAAACGTGTTTATCTATCCTACTGTCATTTTTTATTACAACTAATAATTGTCATAATTTAGCAGTATCAAACTTCAAACATGATAGTATATTTCGAATTTAGTAGTAATCATTCTTATTTAGGAAATAAAGAGTCCGTTTGGTGATCGTGTTTTTTGGCTTATCAGACATTTTTTTATCAAACACGTAATTTTTTATTTCGCACTTTGAATTGTATGATAACAAGAAAAAGTAAGGTTGAAGTTACTTTTTTTGCATTATTGGCTGAAGTTGTTGTAGATGATCTTTTTTAGATATTTTTCATGTAATTTTTTATTTATTCTATTAATACAATTTATTCTAAATATTTTTTTCATAAATCAACAGAATCAGCAAATCCTGCCACTTCAGCTAGAACTTAATAAATTTCAGCAGAATCAGTCGATAAATCCAATTCTAGTACTACCAAACGGCCTAAAAAAGTGGCAATCTTATTTTCTAATTATCAAACATTTTTGTTTTTCTCTTCTATTATGAAATAAAAAAATACACAATTTGAAGTTATCAAACGTTTTTGTTTTTATTTTTACTTTTTAGGACAAAATAATAAAATGATTTCAAATAAAGAAGGTTATTTGTAGGGGTGATCAAAAATTTATTTTTTGTGTATTTGTTTTGACCTAAAAACTCTAGAAATGAATTTTCAATTTTTCTTAAACTTTATATATGCATCATTGGTGTCATATAAAAGACAATAATTGAAAAACTATGAATTTATATACTCCCTCCGTTCTTTTTTATTAGTCCTTCTTTCCTTTTTGGAACATTTTTTTTTTCTGTCCTCCTTTCCATTTAAGGAAAGTTTTTACTCTAAATATACCTTTATACCCCAACTTTTATTACCATTACCACTTTCTCTTTCCTACTTTTTCATTTACCCACTACTCATTGTACCTTTTACACTACCCCTACTACTTTCCTCTTAAAACCTGTGTCAAAGCCTAAGAGGACTAATATTAAAGAACGGAGGTAGTATTTTTTTGTAAAATTAAGTATAAATAAAAAAATTATAAACCTTCAAAAAAAATGGATGACACCAGCATGACGTCACCCATTCATCCTTCTTTGCCCCTCCTATTCTCTTCGACAACCTTCCTTTCATTTTCGGCTGACTATAAAAACCGAATCGAACCGGAATTTGAGTGTGAATTGATTTCGGTTACCGAGAGTAACATGATTGATACTTATATTGAGAACTGATCAGTGCATAGGCCTGTTAATGGGTCGGGTCTAGACCCGGACCCAATCCGAATCCGGCACTTTATTTTAGGGTTTGGGTCTAATTTTAGAACCGTTTTCTGGATCCGAATCCGAACCCGTTACATGATAGAGAAAATGAGTCGAATATGGATTTTTAAGTTCCGGCCCGTTTTGGACCCGACCCGTGATGATATAATTAGAGTTATAATTTTTTACATATACACACACAATATACATAGAAATATTTAAGGGAAAAGGGGCAAATCCCCCCTAAGGTTACCACCAAAGTGCATCTAAGCCCCTAAACTATACTTTGGAGCAAAAAACTCCACTTTCCATTAAAAAGTGGGCATCTGCCCCCCTCCACTAACGGTGGACATACGGAGTACTTAGGGTTGGTTTGCAACCACTTTTAAAAAAGCACTTCTCAGCTTTTGACTTTAAAAAAGCACTTATTTTCCCAAACACTACAACTTTTACTTTTCTCGGCTTCCGCGTCAAAAGTGCTTTTACTTTTTCTATTACACAAAAAGCACTTATTTTACCAAACACTACCCACTTTTACTTTTCAAAATCACTTTTTTCTCAAACACAATCAACTTTTATTTAATCACTTCTCCCCATTTCATTAAAAAAAAAGCACTTTTTTAAAAGCAGAAGCTGTTGCAAACAGACCCTTAATAGGGGTTGAGAACATGTGGTAAATGCAAATACATGTGGTAATTTTTTTACATGTGGTAAATGCAAATCTATATTTTTTGTGAGCAAATGTCTTAGATAAAAATGTGACAAATTAACTAACTAAATGTTGAATTATAGAGTTAACATTTTTTAATTGGATTGAAATTTTTGATCTGATGTAATTTGGTCAAATCAATTTTTGCCTGATCTGGTCTAATCTGTTTTAAGTGTTTTTACTTAAACCTATTTCAGTTTTAGACAAGATCAGACCTGAACAAACCTGACTACACATAAATAGACTAGACCTCGAAATATTATAAAATACCCAGAAACCATAAATCTACCGAATGAGAGCAAACCAGACCAATTCAGACCAGGCCAAATCAGATTAGACCACATCATAAAATTTCAATCGAAGAAAAAATCCTTCATCTCGTCTGCTATGAAATGTGATTAATATTATTTATATATTATAATCTGTATATAATTTATTTGTATTCATTTGTTATTAAAAATAATAAAATTCCTCCCAAATTATTGTAGAGTATATCTTCTCAACTTATCAAACATTTTTAATGTGTATATTGTAAAGATTAAAAGTATTCAAACACTACTTTATCTTCTTTATCATACCAAAATATTTAATTATTTTTCCCCTTTTATTTATAGAAGATGTATGGTAAAAATTGAGAAAGTATTTTGTATCGTACAATATTTTTGAACGAGTTTTGTTATTCTTAAAAATAAATAATTAAAATTAATTATATATATATTATGAAGATAATATATATGAAGATATACATTTTCAGAAAAAAATAAAAATTTTATAAAGTTAATAAAAGAAAATTTAATTTTAGTAAAAGTTGAATATATAAAGTAAAAGATAAAATAGTTTTGTGTATTTTTAATTCTTAAACAAATACGGATTATCATTCAAAAAAAGATAGGGATTAAAAATGTATGATATGTCAAGAAGATATATTGTACAATAGTTTAGAAGAAATTTTATTTTTTAATAGTAAATTACTACGTATTAGATTAATTATATACAAATTATAATATATATATATATATGTCGCATGAGGTTGAAATATTATATTTCAACTGTTGCATTCGAGTCTACCTTTAGCGCATGAGGTCGCATTCTAGATCTATATAGGAGTTGCTTAACTCTTCATTTGCTAGAGGCATTGATTTTGACACAAGACTTATTACGGGAAGAAACAGAATGTATGGATTCAATTGATTAAGGTATTTAAACATTTTGTATTCATTATAATTTATATTTTATAAAAATCATTTAACTGCTTATGATATGCTTAAATTGTTTTTTAGAGCTACATAAGCAAAGTGATCAACATGTTGATATAAGTCAGTGTTCGCAGAAGAAAATATGTTACTCTTATGCATTTTTCTATGGATGATATGCATCTTTGAAGTATTTCCTTTTTCCCCGGTGAGAAATTAGGCTTACTTCCACTCTGTATAATGAATAGATGCACTTTTACGGTATAATCGTGTGGCTATGTCTATCTCATTATTGCGATGTATGTGACCTTTTTTTATAATGAGAGTTGTAGACATTAGGAAACACTTCGGCAACATTGTGTTTCTTCTTGGTATTTCACTATTTCTAAAAAATTATCTTCCTTGTTGCTTTGATTGATGAATCCTCATGTAACAAACTAATTTTTATTTGTGCAATATTCACTTGTTTGAGATGTAGCAGATCCAACACTATATAGGCAATAGAAGTTTCACTAGATGTTTTGTACAATTTGTGTTTGTGCAGGCAGTGTGTTTGCCTATTGTATGCATGCACTATGAAGTATGAACTATGAAGGTTGTATGTTTGGTTATTTTAGTGAAATTGTCCTAACTCATTGCTATTTATGCGTTACTATTTTGCACATTGCACCAAAAATGTAAACCACTACTTATATTTTGCATATATTTGCACATTACTTGTAAACAACTTCTATTTTGCACAGCACACCAAACTAGAATCACTATTTTGTTTATTTAACTTTAATATTTTATTTCTATTCCAGTTTTAGCACTTTATTTAGTTTGTTTTATATTTAAACAAACTATTTAAAATAAATAAAAGTTGACTTCTAAATATGAAACTACACATTATCGTTTTCAAATTTATAAACCGAACTTCAAATCAAACGAATTTTCTCTCTCACCCTTTTATTCTCTCATCTCTCTTTCCATACACCCCCCCCCCCCTCCCCCCACTTCCTCTTCTTTAAATTTAAAATGTAAATTTCAAATGGTAAAAATATAATATATTTATATTGTGTGTCAAGTGTGTACGAAAAATATATGAACATCATTTTTCAAATACATAGAAGATGTCTAATTAGGAGCATATTTTTTAAGATTAAACTTTCAAGCATTGTCGATGCTCTTAGAACATTTGTAACCCCGGAGTATTAGAAGTCCAAAATAATAAAGATGAATATTTTAAACACCTAATTACATATATTGAGGGAACGTAAAAAAGGCTTTAAAATGGCCAAGGGAGTGAGAGGGATTTAAAGTAGGGGTGGGCAAAACGGTTTTCAAATGTATTTCAGGTCAT